GTCGAGTCGAAATTTCGTAATCAAAATTTGAATTAAAAATTTAAATTTCAATTTAAATTTTAAAATTTAAAAAATTTAAATATTTAAAAAATTAAAAAATAAAAAATTAAAAAATTAACTAAAAATGAAGGAGGAAAAAATTTAAAAAAATTCTGAAAAAATTTAAAATGATTTGCAAAAATGGGCGGAAGTCAGAATGTAAGGGGATTACCCAATTATTACAAAATCCCAAATTTCATAATGTCAAAACGACAAAATGCCACAAGGACAAAATGTCACAACGACAAAATGTCAACTCTCAAAACGTCAACTTAATTTAAAAATTAATCTTTACCGAATATTAATTTAATTCCAAACTTATTTTAATCTTTTTTAATTTTAATTTTTTAATATAGATCAAAACATAAAAAATATGGTGATCTTTTGGGGAGTATGGAAGAAAATTTTTAAGTGCTCTTTTTTCAAGGACAGCGTCTTTTTTGCGATAAGATCTTTTTTCACACTTAAATTTTTATTTCTTAATTTAAGTTAAAACCTTTTCTTCTACTCTCTACCCATTTTATTAAAAATATTTACTTATTTGCAAATCAATTAAGTTTTTGAATGCTTTTTATTATTTAATTTATTTTTACCTTATAAACCCTATTTAAAAATTTTCAAAATAGTTTTAAATTTAATTATTTTTATATTTTAAATTTTCTTTCAAACTTTTAAATTTTCATTATTTAAACTAGTTAAATTTTTTATAATTAATTTTTATTTTCGAATAATTTCATTTTTCTAATAATTTTCACCTAAAGCCGTTGCGGCCGATAAACGGCTGCAACGCATTTCTAAAGCTGCTGCGGCCGATAAACGGCTGCAGCGCATTTCTAGTTTCTAAAGCCGCTGCGGCCGATAAACGGCTGCAGCGCATTTCTAGTTTCTAAAGCCGCTGCGGCCGATAAACGGCTGCAGCGCATTTCTTAAGCCGCTGCGGCCGATAAACGGCTGCAGCGCATTTCTACTTTTTAAAGCCGCTGCGGCCGATAAACGGCTGCAGCGCATTTCTACTTTTTAAAGCCGCTGCGGCCGATAAACGGCTGCAGCGCATTTATTAAGCCGCTGCGGCCGATAAACGGCTGCAGCGCATTTCTAGTTTCTAAAACCGCTGCGGCCGATAAACGGCTGCAGCGCATTTCTAAAGCCGTTGCGGCCGATAAACGGCTGCAACGCACTTCAAAAGCCGCTGCGGCCGATAAACGGCTGCAGCGCATTTCTAAAGCCGTTGCGGCCGATAAACGGCTGCAACGCACTTCAAAAGCCGCTGCGGCCGATAAACGGCTGCAGCGCATTTCTAATTTCTAAAGCCGTTGCGGCCGATAAACGGCTGCAACGCACTTCAAAACCCGCTGCGGCCGATAAACGGCTGCAGCGCATTTCTAATTTCTAAAGCCGTTGCGGCCGATAAACGGCTGCAACGCATTTCTAAAGCCGTTGCGGCCGATAAACGGCTGCAACGCACTTCAAAAGCCGCTGCGGCCGATAAACGGCTGCAGCGCATTTCTAAAGCCGTTGCGGCCGATAAACGGATGCAACGCACTTCAAAAGCCGCTGCGGCCGATAAACGGCTGCAGCGCATTTCTAATTTCTAAAGCCGTTGCGGCCGATAAACGGCTGCAACGCACTTCAAAACCCGCTGCGGCCGATAAACTGCTGCAGCGCATTTCTAATTTCTAAAGCCGTTGCGGCCGATAAACGGCTGCAACGCACTTCAAAATTCTTAACTTATTTATACTTAATATTTTAAATTAAATTTGTCCAAACTTTTGGGGCCCCATAACCTATTAGAGGATTTCAACTTGAATTTCCAGATAATTTTATATTATCTCATTCGTTTAAAAGAACATTAATTAATTACATTTTACATTTTGCTATAATATACCACTTTAAATTTATTCTTATTCAATTTTCTTTTTTATAAATATACCTACCTATCTTAATTTATTTCAATTTACTATTTCAATAACTATGGTTCATATTCCCTTTGACCCACGAACAATCGGTTACGATGACCATCATTCATCTATTAGTCAAATAGGCGCAGGCGCTGATGAAAACTATTTCTATTTTCGCGGACTTAACCCCTATCAGCGCGGATATGGAAGACAGGCGGGTGGTGGAGTTGGGATGTACTTAGAACTTTTTGGCGATTCCTATTACCTTATGCCAAACGCGCGGGAACTGCTGTAGCAAAAGAAGCACTGGATACTGGTGGAAGAATTTTAGAAAGTGTGGGGAATCCTGAATATGGCAATGAGCATTCCAACCCAAATTTTAAGCAAACAGTTTTAAGTGAAGAAAAACGGGGATTAGACAGATTACTTGAGAAGGGTGGAATGCCAAAACAGTTTGGGACGGGTCTGCGGGCGAGGGGTAGTATAAAAGGACTCAAAAGAAAACGTGAATTTCCACCTCCCACACCAACAATTCCTTGTACTTGTACCTTGTACAAGTCCTTGTACTTGTACAAGTACAAGTAGTGGTGCGGCGAGACAAAGGGAAACAAAGGGCGTGGGAGAGATCTTCGGCTCCCGCACCACCAATGGCGGCGGAAACCAAAGGGTGTGGGAAACTCTTCGGCTCCCGGAGTGATAAGTGACAGCTTCTGATTGATTGACAGGCACAGATACAAGTGACAAGGTACATGAAAAGTGACAGGTTATGATGATTGATATGTGACAAGGTACAAGTACAAGACTTCTATCTGGGGGGGGGGGGGGGGCTGAAATATTTGGAGGGGTTGGGGTTTCAGTCTGGGACTGAAATATTTTGATCAAAGATCAAAAACCTAATAAAATAATTAAATCCCCGAGCGTAATCGAACCTTCCCCAAAATTTTTAAATGCGGAAACCTTAACCAGTCGGCCACGGAGGTTTAATAACACTTTATCAAATTAACCCAATTATGTATTTACCGGTAAACTTTGGGGGAGGGGTTGGAGGAAGAAAATTAAAATGAAGGGAAGTAAGGAAAATTGTTGATTCCCCTCCCAAGGTCATTTGCGGGAAAACTTAAAAATATTCCCACCCAGAAAAAAGTTTGCTCCTATTGGTTGTTTGTGGGAATTTAAAAATTAAAAAATTCAAAATTTTTGAAAAAATTTCAAATTTCGAGTCGAAATTTCGAAATGTCGAGTCGAAATTTCGTAATCAAAATTTGAATTAAAAATTTAAATTTCAATTTAAATTTTAAAATTTAAAAAATTTAAATATTTAAAAAATTAAAAAATAAAAAATTAAAAAATTAACTAAAAATGAAGGAGGAAAAAATTTAAAAAAATTCTGAAAAAATTTAAAATGATTTGCAAAAATGGGCGGAAGTCAGAATGTAAGGGGATTACCCAATTATTACAAAATCCCAAATTTCATAATGTCAAAACGACAAAATGCCACAAGGACAAAATGTCACAACGACAAAATGTCAACTCTCAAAACGTCAACTTAATTTAAAAATTAATCTTTACCGAATATTAATTTAATTCCAAACTTATTTTAATCTTTTTTAATTTTAATTTTTTAATATAGATCAAAACATAAAAAATATGGTGATCTTTTGGGGAGTATGGAAGAAAATTTTTAAGTGCTCTTTTTTCAAGGACAGCGTCTTTTTTGCGATAAGATCTTTTTTCACACTTAAATTTTTATTTCTTAATTTAAGTTAAAACCTTTTCTTCTACTCTCTACCCATTTTATTAAAAATATTTACTTATTTGCAAATCAATTAAGTTTTTGAATGCTTTTTATTATTTAATTTATTTTTACCTTATAAACCCTATTTAAAAATTTTCAAAATAGTTTTAAATTTAATTATTTTTATATTTTAAATTTTCTTTCAAACTTTTAAATTTTCATTATTTAAACTAGTTAAATTTTTTATAATTAATTTTTATTTTCGAATAATTTCATTTTTCTAATAATTTTCACCTAAAGCCGTTGCGGCCGATAAACGGCTGCAACGCATTTCTAAAGCTGCTGCGGCCGATAAACGGCTGCAGCGCATTTCTAGTTTCTAAAGCCGCTGCGGCCGATAAACGGCTGCAGCGCATTTCTAGTTTCTAAAGCCGCTGCGGCCGATAAACGGCTGCAGCGCATTTCTTAAGCCGCTGCGGCCGATAAACGGCTGCAGCGCATTTCTACTTTTTAAAGCCGCTGCGGCCGATAAACGGCTGCAGCGCATTTCTACTTTTTAAAGCCGCTGCGGCCGATAAACGGCTGCAGCGCATTTATTAAGCCGCTGCGGCCGATAAACGGCTGCAGCGCATTTCTAGTTTCTAAAACCGCTGCGGCCGATAAACGGCTGCAGCGCATTTCTAAAGCCGTTGCGGCCGATAAACGGCTGCAACGCACTTCAAAAGCCGCTGCGGCCGATAAACGGCTGCAGCGCATTTCTAAAGCCGTTGCGGCCGATAAACGGCTGCAACGCACTTCAAAAGCCGCTGCGGCCGATAAACGGCTGCAGCGCATTTCTAATTTCTAAAGCCGTTGCGGCCGATAAACGGCTGCAACGCACTTCAAAACCCGCTGCGGCCGATAAACGGCTGCAGCGCATTTCTAATTTCTAAAGCCGTTGCGGCCGATAAACGGCTGCAACGCATTTCTAAAGCCGTTGCGGCCGATAAACGGCTGCAACGCACTTCAAAAGCCGCTGCGGCCGATAAACGGCTGCAGCGCATTTCTAAAGCCGTTGCGGCCGATAAACGGATGCAACGCACTTCAAAAGCCGCTGCGGCCGATAAACGGCTGCAGCGCATTTCTAATTTCTAAAGCCGTTGCGGCCGATAAACGGCTGCAACGCACTTCAAAACCCGCTGCGGCCGATAAACTGCTGCAGCGCATTTCTAATTTCTAAAGCCGTTGCGGCCGATAAACGGCTGCAACGCACTTCAAAATTCTTAACTTATTTATACTTAATATTTTAAATTAAATTTGTCCAAACTTTTGGGGCCCCATAACCTATTAGAGGATTTCAACTTGAATTTCCAGATAATTTTATATTATCTCATTCGTTTAAAAGAACATTAATTAATTACATTTTACATTTTGCTATAATATACCACTTTAAATTTATTCTTATTCAATTTTCTTTTTTATAAATATACCTACCTATCTTAATTTATTTCAATTTACTATTTCAATAACTATGGTTCATATTCCCTTTGACCCACGAACAATCGGTTACGATGACCATCATTCATCTATTAGTCAAATAGGCGCAGGCGCTGATGAAAACTATTTCTATTTTCGCGGACTTAACCCCTATCAGCGCGGATATGGAAGACAGGCGGGTGGTGGAGTTGGGATGTACTTAGAACTTTTTGGCGATTCCTATTACCTTATGCCAAACGCGCGGGAACTGCTGTAGCAAAAGAAGCACTGGATACTGGTGGAAGAATTTTAGAAAGTGTGGGGAATCCTGAATATGGCAATGAGCATTCCAACCCAAATTTTAAGCAAACAGTTTTAAGTGAAGAAAAACGGGGATTAGACAGATTACTTGAGAAGGGTGGAATGCCAAAACAGTTTGGGACGGGTCTGCGGGCGAGGGGTAGTATAAAAGGACTCAAAAGAAAACGTGAACCTCATTCATCATTTTCAAAAGAAAACAGTCATCAACTCATTATTGGTAAACCTCCGTCTCTTACCCCAAAAAAGAAGCGTCAAAAAATAGATACATTCGGTCTTTATTAAATAAAAATGTCCGCTCATCAGAAAATTGATCGCGATTCTGGCAACGCAATAACAAATGCTTTATCATTTTTTGAAACTCCCCATACAAATGTTAGTATTAGCAACTCCTCGTTTATAGAACTACTCACACTTAACCCTGTAAATATTACCCCTTTTCATTTCAAAATTCATGCAACTACCAATTATATTGATTTAGCTAAAACATATGTTTTCACTGAACTTAGAATTAGAAAGGAAGATAATGATGGGAAAATTGTTGATATAGGGAAAGACGATAATGTATCGATTGTGCAGCTTATAGGTCATACAATTTGGAAAAATTGTCGCATGCATATTAATGGGACACAAGTTTTTGAAGGGAACTCCCTCATGGCATACAAAAGTATTTTCGTCTATGAGCTTACTTACCCACAGACAGTAAAAAACTCTTACCTATCTGCCGCAGGTTACTATGACGATGGCGCTATGGATCTTAATGGTGTTGGTTTTGAGAATAGAAGACTCTTGTTTGCACCATCAGCTGATGGTACACAAAATTCTGCACAATTTATTGCAAAATTAGACGTGGACATTTGCAATCAACCCCGGTATCTAGTTAATCAGTGCGAAGTTGATATTGAACTTTTGCCCAATGATTCAAATTTCCTTATTGTTGCCCCAACAGCGGGTAACCATAAATATCATTTAGAAGTTTTGGCTTGCAAATTATATGTAAAGAAGATTGAATTAATGGATAGTTTAGCCTTTGATATTGCGAAGAAACTTGAAATAAATCCCGCGCGATACCCAGTAAGAAAAACATCTCTTAAATCCTTATTCATTAGTGAAAATAGAACAGAATTTAATGCTAACATATGGATGGATCAGGTGCCTCGAAGGATTATACTGGGAATGGTTGCTAATAAAGATTTTGTAGGCCAGCAAAAGACAACACCCTTTAATTTTCAACATTTTAATTTGAGAGATATTTCCATAACTGCTGGGGGAGTCACCTTTCCAGCCGCCCCTTATTCCCTTGATTTTCCAAATGGGAAGTATGTGCGAATATATCATGATATGCAGGAGGCAATAGGGTATGCGGGATCACTAGAAAGTAATGGAATTTCCATGAAACGTTTTTCAAGTGGTGGATTTTGTTTATTAGTATTTAACCTCACAAATAGTCAGGAAGATAATGGCCCAGAGATGTTTGATTTGATAAAGAATGGTACTACTAGTATAAGGATGACCTTCAACGAACCGGTTCCAGCTGGTGGGATTGTACTTGTAGCCATGGGTGAAATCGATTCGATGCTTATGTTAGATAGGAACAGAAATATTTCCACAGATATTTCAGTATAATTACCCTCAAATTTTCCTCATTTTTCATTCTCCAATTTCATTCTAAAAATGTGTCATATTACTATGAAAATTGAATTTTGATTTGTTTGTTTCATTTTATTTTTCTTTCTTTATAAATTCACACAACATTATTCTATGTCTAATGAGGATGAACATCCAGAATATAGAGAAAAATTAAGAGAGCGTATAGACTATTACGCAACACTATTTTCCCTAAAACAAATCAAATTTTTAATTCTTCAATAAAATCTCCAATATTTCCTGAAAGATTGCAAAATACGATTGGCCTAGCATGTAAATTCAACCCTGAGAAAAATATTACAATTTTGGATTTCTGGTCAATGGAACACGTGGAGAATGTCCAATTTCCTTCCCCTTGTAAGGAATTTCCTTCAGCAGAAACATCAATTGCTCAAACAATTTACTTCTGTACATTAATTGTACTCTAGCTTCTATTGCTAGCAACAGCCTTAACCTATCAACTGAGAAAATTTATAAAAATTAAAAACAACAACAAGGACATTGAACTTGGAGAAATTCAAAGAAAAGATTCAAACCTCCACCTCTTTGACGAAAATGGACACTTTACAAATAGACAAAATCTTATTACACAACAGAATAACTAGAAGATATTTTATAGGATGCTTCGCCGCAGATAAAATCCCAGAAGAATTTCGAAAATACCCATGCTCATTGGTCGTCAACCTTGAAAAAGCATCGGGAAAAATTGTTTTTCAGTTACTTTCAGTCCAAATGCACCAATCAGCTTCCCCAAGGCGACTGGGCAAAGATTAAAAGAGTCTCGAAATATTACTTCATTGCATTTGTTGTTGCGGGGAATTTTTAATTCATAAAGTTTATTACCCCGACGGATCATTGATGGGACAAGTCCTTTCAGATAAATTTCCTTGAAAACCATAACCATATCATATCGTCCTCCATTGTGAGAAAATGCCATTGTTGTATATTGTGGGTTAAGTTCAAATAGAATCCATTGAATGAAGAATTTGAGCGGATTTTCTGTGACAATTTGTTTATCGACTTTTGTTTGAGTGAACGGACGGTGTGAAAATGTGATTGATCGATTGTTTCCGCAGATTGTGCAGCTGTTTCCGTTTTGTCGTAGAGGCGAACGCCATAATTGATCATTTTCCATACACTTTGTACAAGTTACTGTTGCGGCAATGAAGTTTACATTGTGGAGCCGTCTTTCTTCATCACCGTTATTTATTTTTTCATTTTGCGTTGCCTCAAAATCGAAGGTTACGAGACGATAATCAACTGGTTTTTTAAGTTCCAGTGGACGAATAAAACATCCTCTATCCATACTGTGAAATTGTCGGCAAATTTGGCACCATTTCTGTCCACACACGTGCTTCTTTTCACTTTCCCTCTTGTAATTTTTCATTGACCATATAACACCGCATTTCTCACAAATTTTTGTTTGCCGACAATTGCTGCTTTTTTTGTGATGATTGAAGCAGTCTTCATTCAAATAATTTTTCCCACAGTCATCACATTTTTTGTAAAAGTCTCCTGCTGCCACACATGGTCTGTCACTCCCTACGCGCCCGCAAAGATTGCAACGTGATCTACATTTAAAGTCATGCTCCTTTGATTTTCTGAATTTCTTTTCACATGTAAAACAATATTTTAACCCCATTCCAAACATTCCTCCAACATTTCTTATTCCGTCAAAATGGTTATTTAAGTGAAAAATTGAAACTGCCACATTGAAATTTTCGCTCCCATATTTGAATAGAGGTTTCTCACTTGCACTTCCAAAAACAAATACTTTAAATTTATAACCTGTATTCTCATATTGATTGTTCCAAAAATCGACAACAATTGGTACATATTCCACTGCATCATATTCAGGGAGATCTTGAGGAATTTTTGCTTCTTTTAGTAGATCCAAAACGTCATTCATTTGCCGATGTTTATATTGCATATATGCGTTAAATTTTCTTCTGTCTCCCAACTCTTTAATAACATATTTACGTGTAATTTCCAAAGCATAAAATAAGCATAAGTTGTTTGGGTTATCTACTTTAATAAATACTTCAGCTCTTAGTTGTCCATCGTCCGTTGCAGTAGTTTGTGGTGCGCGCCCTCTAATTGATTGGTTTGTTGAAAGTGATGAAATGCCAAGTGTCTGAATTTTAATTGTGAAGGGTTGGCCAAGAATAGAACCCTTTTCTATTTTAGATTGGGAAACAAGCTGGAATCTATTAAGTATATTCTCGATTGTATCATTTTCTAGTTTTCTAATTGGGATCCATATGTCGTTATCTAATAGTTGTGAAGAAATTATAGCTCCTAAGCGGTCAGGTTCAATTGATTGATTTCTTGAGGCTTCTACGGTTTGATCCATACAATCTTGAATAATATTTTTCAGTAATTCTTCCGGATTCTCAGGTAGTTTTTCGATAATAAATTTTCCTGTTGTCCCCACCATTTTATATTTTTTGTTAAATGCGGTATCAGTCTATTTGTCGATAATAATTTTTTGGCGGATTTGCCCCCGTGCCGCTTTGTGAGTTATCAAATAAATGGGGAAGAAGATTTTGGATGCTGAATCTTGGGCGCTTGTTGGAGGAAGGGCCGTTTTGTTCGTTATTAAATGACATTTTAAGTTTTTGAATTAGCTAGTTTTTTGTTTTTGAGTCAAATGGTTAAGAATGACAAAAAATCTGCCCTTTTATACTCCTCATTTTGGTCACGTGACCCGATTACGAAATATTTTTCAAGGTCATGGCACATTTTACATTTAAAGTTTTTCCACAAAAAGTCATTAATCATCTTAAAAATTTTTAGTTAAATACACAACTTAGCTTATTTTGTAATATTTCAAGGTCATTCGGTATCACAACATTTATTACAGTCAGTTACCAAAATAGTCAGCCCCAGACTGAAATTCCCAGTCCCAAATTAATTTAGCCCCCAGACTTTTTTTCAGCCCCAATTTCCCAGTCCCAGATTAATTCAGCCCTAGGCTGTAGTTCCCTCCATAAATATTTCATTCCCAGACTCAAATTCCCAGGATTAATAAATTTCTAGGGGGATTTAAAATTCCCGCCAATTAGTATTTTAGGGTTGACATTCTGAGAGTTGGCATTTTGTCCTTGTGGCATTTTGTCGTTTTGACATTTTGAAATTTGGGATTTCGTAATAATTGGGTAATTCCCCTTACATTCTGACTTCCGCCCATTTTTGCAAATCATTTTATTTTTTTTCAGAATTTTTGTAAATTTTTTCTCCCTCACTTATTTATTTAATTAATATTTTTTAATTTTTTTAATTTTACCGTACCATGGTAAAATTACCGTACCCAAACAAATTTCATCCCCCAGACTGAAATTCCCAAACCCAAATATT